TAACACACCCTAAAATGACATTACATTATAACATAACATATTATAACAAACAATATCATAGCACAACATATTACAACACAACATAATGTAACAACATAACATAACTCAATGCACTGTAACACAACATAACATAAATGACATAGCATGACACATTGTAATGACATGACACAATACATTATAACATAACTAATCATGATATAACACTATACATCGTGACATAACATAGAACAACAAAACAAATTATATCGCAGCATATCCTAATAAAACCCATTATAATACATCATAACTCAACCCAGCACATTATAGCACATCATAATATAGCATCAAAAATTATAACACAATTAAATATGATACAACACATTGTAACACAACATAACACATGATACTATATCAGATCACATTATAACATAACCTAATATAATAGAATACATCATAACATGAAAAAATTAAAACACAACAGAACACAGGACAACAGAACATAATATAATACAATCTATTATGCTGCATTATAATGTGATGTGTTATGTTATGTTGTTACACTGTGCTATGTTATGATGTGTTATGTTGTTATACTGTGCAATGTTATAATGTGTTATGTTGTTATACTGTGCTATGTTATGATGTGTTATGTTATGTTTTNAGATGCAGACGTACGGTACGTCGGGACAAGCCAGATCACTCAGATGCAGACGTACGTCGAGACAAGCCAGATGCGGACGTACGGTACGTCAGGACAAGCCAGATCACCCAGATGCGGACGTACGTCAAGACAAGCCAGATGCGGACGTACGGTACGTCGGGACAAGACAGATCACCCAGATGCGGACGTACGTCAAGACAAGCCAGATGCGGATGTACGTCAAGACAAGCCAGATGCGGACGTACAGTACGTCGGGACAAGCCAGATCACCCAGATGCAGACGTACGTCAAGACAAGCCAGATGCGGACGTACGCCGGGCGTGTGCGCCAATAAAGTTATTTTAGCTCTTTGTACGCCGCGTTGTACACCAGTAGAAGAGCTTGGAGCCTCGTTTACGCCGGATTAATCCGCAGAAAACGGCACCATCCTGGGTATGGTCTATCTGTAGGGTAGCAGACAAATTTTTGCAATGAATACGTTCTAAACATCCACATTTGTAAAAAAATTCTCACGATTGGACAAGACCAACAAAGTTTTCGATTTCACACAAAATTATGAGATAAACTTCTACTTTTTCACTGCGTACATTCACATCATACTTCCTATGTTTACGTAATTACAGGACGCCATCACACACTCTTTTGTTTGGTTGTGTCTTGTTTGATTTCACAATAAATAGATTTGATTCACATTCCATTCTGAGATTTAAATGATTGAAAGTTTTTTTGAATTATAAAAACCCATTTATGCATTCCAGATTTGAATTTTTTCCATTTTTTGCCCTATTATGTTGAATTTATCTTGATAAATTCACTTCAAATTCTGACTGATTTCATCTGCCATCACGCGTTTTTGAACGTTTTGTGTCTTTTAGAAAATGTTTGTTGTTTAACATGGGAAACTATTTCATTATATAAAACATAGAGCACGTACAATATAGTGCATTAATAATACAATTTAATTTAATAAATATTAATTTTTAATTTAAAAAATATAATCAGATTTTTGATTCCACATTTTTCGAATAGAATTTAATTCTACAGCATGTACCATCTAGTGTATTAAATAATAAAATTTGATTTAGTAAAATGTAATTTTAATTAATTTTTTAATTTAATTTAATTCTACAGCTTCAACCGGTAAAAATGAGCATCATAGGAATGAAAGTAAAACTGTCATTCATACATCACAAATTGAATGGCATTGGATGGATTTGATAGGTATTTTATTAATCCTGTTTATATATAAGAATGGAAATGACTCTTCTATTTCAGAATGATAATGGAAATGTTCCTACTATTTTAGAAAATGCTAAATTAATGATCCATATTAGAATTCAATAGACATTACGATTTCTGAATTATCTTCAAAAGTTTGTTTTCGTTCGTTTGATCAGAAATTTTTTTACGTTTGATCAGAAGTTTTCGTTCATTTGATCAGAAGTTTTCGTTCATTTGATCAGAAGTTTTTGTTCGTTTGATCAGAAGTTTTTGTTTGTTTGATCAGAAGTTTTTGTTCGTTTGATCAGAAGTTTTCATTTGTTTGATCAGAAACAGAAAAGGTTTTCGTTCATTTGATTAGAAACAACATAATTATTCATTCTCTTGCACTAGGTATACGAGTGATTAGTTGGACCTGGTTACCATCCGCATTGGTCATCCCGCTAGATTAGACATAACACAACGCAGTGTAACATAACACAACACATCATAACATAATGATACATTTCATTATAACATAACACTTAATGTTGTCTTGTGTTATGTTACATTATGTGGTGTTATAATGTATTATGTTGTATTGTGTTTTGTTATCTTGTGTTATAATGTGTAATTTAATGTTATGTAGTGTTAGAATGTGTTCTGTTATAATTTGTTGTATTAAATCATGTTGTGTTACAAGGTTATTGCAGCTGATTTGCAAACAAAGATTTCTTGTTTGAATAATGTTCATTGTTATCAAAACTTATTGTGAGTCAAATTTTTATTTTCTCATACGTACTCATTTGTTCACACATATAAATGTTTATAAATTTATTTTTGGAATAATTATATTTTTTATAAAGAAAAGGCTGGATTTAATTGGTAACTATTTGTATCCATTGTTGGATTTGGTAATGATGATTGTAAATTCATTGAATACCAATGTGTTTTGCTCAAATATTCTGATACTTCTTGTAATCTTACGACACAGCCTGTTGATGCTCAATTTTCACTGTGCTCCAGCTGCATTAACATTTTAGCCAAAATGAACTAATGAATTTGGTTGCAAAATTCAGAACTGTGTCCTCCTTCACATAACATCAATATCAAGTTACCTTTGTTTACCTACCATATAGTTTTGCAAATTAACATTTAATAAACTTTTTGGAAGTTAATATTCTTTATGTGACCACACACGTTTGTGCTTAGTTTAGAATATACCTATATTTATGACCTAACCTAAGTCATGGACATTTGAATGATCAGTATGGTGAAATTTCATGTTAACTTTCAACATTTGACAATTGATAGTTAAATTTTTTCAAACTTCAATGTTTGATTATAATAATTAAAAAAGTTTATCATAATTGTTATCTATTTCATCAAGAAAGATATATACAGGGTCTGCCATATTTATGGCAATACATGTTTTTTGTTATTTCTCAATGAAACAAACAGGTGTATTTTTTTTATTGGATGAGCCAGTAGCCAAGAATTACCTAAACAATTCTCAGACATATTTATTCAATATGACCACCTTTATTTTTAATGGCAGCCTCCAATCTACACTGGAAAGCTTCACAGGAGATACACAGCATTTCTTGAGAGATCAAGTCCCATTCTTGTGTCAATTTAGACTGCAAACTATCCAAAGAATCATGAGGTGTTCTGCAGACCCTACTCTCTAAAATAGCCCGCACAGAAAATTTGAGAGGATTCAAATCAGGGCTTCTTGAGGGCCATTCATTTTTGCTAATGAATGCTGGGATGTGACCCTGAATCCAGTTTTGGGTCATGTTTGAGCCATGTGATGGGGCAGAGTTTTGTTGAAAACTCCATGGTGAGCCATTGAAGTGTTTACAGGCCCAAAGTAACAACACAGCTTCCAAAATGTCTGAAATGTATCGCTGACTGTTCTATTTCACTCCTAAGGGGACAAAAACGAGTGGGGACCTCCTCACTGGCGGTTACCACAACCCAAACCATCACGGACATGGGATTTTAACATTGTGTTGCCTTTCTGGTTGCCACAGATCCATCCTGACTCAAAACTCTGTCCTTTTGATGGTTGACACTTTGTTCAATGTCAAATTTTTTCTCGTCACTCAACATCAAGTTGGGCAGCGTACCATCCTCAATGAACTCCAGGATGTGCTGGCATCTTTTGAGCCTCATTCATTCATGACGGTCTGTTAGTTCATGCCTTGTTTGCATCGTGTAAGGGGAGGTTTTGAGGTCATCTTTGAGGACTCTACGCACTGATGTCTGACTGACTCCTGCTTCTGCAGCCAATTTTGTAGCTGAGCAATGAGGGTTTCTCCTCAACTTCTCCCTCGTGTTTTTGACCAATTGTATTGTTTGGACACTTCGTTTCCTTCCTTGACCAGGTCAATTGCATGTTTCACCAGTTTCCTTTAATTTTTTTACCACCTTCCACACAGTGTATCACCTTCCACACAGTTTCACAACGAATTTAGTGCTTTTTTGCAATGACTGAATTACTCTTGCCCTTTTCATAAAGGGTTACAATTGCATTTCTATCTACTGCCATAAGTAATAGTAAATTTAGACACCTCAGACTTCTGCAATATAAAATAGATGATATTAAGCTTCATTATAAAATGAAAGTCTCCTAGGAACCTATTTATTTTTATGTAGCAAACATCCATTGCCATAAATATGGCGGACCCTGTATTAGTATAGGTTGGCAGAATTTGTTCCTTTAAGCAGGTTTCATTGAAGACCAGAGAATTTGTTTTATTGACAATTTTCTTATTAGTTTTTTCAATATACCTATCAAACAATATTTTTAATTTGCAATAGTAAATAAAAAATTAGGGTACCAATGGATATTTCTATTTCATTAACTACATTTTTAATATATCAATTATTCATCATCAAGTCACAAGTCACACTGAGTAATGAAATTTGGATTGATATAAGTACAAAATCATGTAAATAGGATACATACTACTCAAAAAATGAATCTGGTTAGAAATAAATACATATACATACCAGTCTGTACCTTACAGTTATGAAAGAATGTAAATAAAATGAATGTGTGAATGTGAATGAATGAATGCATTCTAGAAACAAGGGAATTTTTTCATCAAAATTTTAAATTCTGTATTTGTCATTAAAATTTCATTCAATCCATTTTCACCCTCAAAAATTATTTTTCAAGCAGTGAACAGAATGGTTTGCTCTACTGATACTCACATTGATCCTAAGTCTTTCTATGACCCTGATTCTCCTCGACCTATGAGGAGTTTTGTGGGGCAGTATTGGTACCAAGCCTCATGTACAGTTCTAGGCTTTGGTGTTGCCTGCTTGCACAATTTTATCAGGAAACGTCCAGTTTTTGCAGGTTGGTCCAAAACTCTTACACTTTTTTAGTTGTGCTACACATGTACAACATTGCATTCTTGTGCTAAAATTGAGATCTTGCATAGGTTTTGTGATTGAAAATTGTCCCAAATTGTTATTTGTTAACTTTTTGAAAGTTTGTCTAATTCAGAATTAATTCATGAAGTTTAGGGAGAATGTACAAGCTGTATTCATATTTTTTTAAATTTTTCTTTGTGATCCTATATATACACTTTTATAATGACACTGAATTATTCTTATAACTCCATCTGAATCAAGATTCAAGACTTTGAAGCAGTCTCTAGTTTATATAGTCATATCGAATTTCGCAATCTTATCAAATTATGTACCCACTAACGCTCGTCTAGAGTATTGTGTTGAATGCATGCCTGACCTCCTGCGGCACTTGCGCGTGTGCTTGGGTGTTGTGCATATCCCATTCACCGCGTATAAAAAATCTAATAGACACCTTTCTAAGGTAGATTACATGCAATATTCGCAAGTGAATTATTTCTAGAAATACTTCAGTGGTGCCTTACTCCCTATCCCATTTAACATTTTGTATTTGAGTAATGAATTAATGTTTCTCTTACATTTTATCCATGTAGATAGCTGAAATAACTGCCCCATGCATGTCACCAGGTCTCCCCAGGCATGCAGCCTTTACCTTGATTGGCTTTGGAGCTGGCACCTGGATTAACAATTTTATCAAGAGGAGATCTGCGGAGCGCGATTACTTCTACTACCAGTACATGTGTGATCACCCTGAGGACTTCCCTCTTATTGGTAAGTTCTAATTCAAATTATTTTAAAGGCATTTTGCCAATTTTAATTATGAAGACTTGAAGAATAATTTTAGATGTGAGTAGGATACATGCACAGTATTATTTTACTTACATTCATGTTAACAATAAACTGAATGATAAAATTAGATGAAAGGCAAATTTGGCAATACCACCTACCACAACTCACTAGATGTTATCCCACAGCTAAGTTTTACAGAATAGTTTCGTAGTATGCCATAAGTGTCCTACCGGTATTTAGAAAAAAATTCCATGACTCCATGATCATCAAAATAATTTTCCAAGACTCATATACGACAGGTTTAGCATGACTGAAAGACTAACCGTGCATATTCTATCATCTCCTACAGTTGATAAATAGCAAACGTGTAAATGCAATAATGCCTAGAGCAGACAGACACAGTGGAACAGAAATGACACAAATATGAAAATGAAGCCCACACTTTCGTTATTATGAATTCAATAGTGTCAAATCACAACAAATATTGAGTAATGCACACAAGATTGTACGAGATTATGTCGTATCAATACAGTTCAGAACACAAATCAACACCACTACCCTAACATTCAACTGGCAGCGATTTCATAAACATTTTCTTTGATATTAATTTCAAGATCGTCTAGCTCTTGTTGCTTTGTTTTCAAAGATTGCCTCATGGCATTGAACTTTGCGATGATTTTCCAATCCCTCTTTCTCTCCGTTGCTTCTGCATATTCATCTGCTGCTTGTTCAAGCGCCTTGATGCCCTCCTCCGTACGCCTTTTCTTCTTCAGTTCATCCAGCTCATCCAACAGAGCCTTCCTCTTCTGGGTTTTCTGGGCCGTCGCATTCTGCTCTTTCTCTTCTGCCAAATAATTATTGTAGGCCGTTTAGGCTTTGCCAGCTGCAAGCAGCATCTTCTTGGTGATGGTCATCTTGACCAGGCTACCAACATGTGCAACATGATCACCACAGCACGCAGGGCAACCACCATTCGCTCTTTCATGTTGTGTGTCATGATTTCATTGTTGAACGAAAAACCTCTTATAACCATGGCTTGGCCATGAGACAGTAGCATGAGTTTATTTTGTGCTATGAAAGTACCCAAAATAATTGAATGAATAACGCACACACAAACAAATGGATAATTTTGTCACTTACCATACAATCGCTCCATAAGCAAACATGCATGTCTAGTTGCTTCTTTTGAAGTACTTCATCAAGTGACTCGTCAAAAAGCAGCACTAAGTTATAACAGCATGAGCATTTTGCTTCAACATATCCAAAGAGCATGGTCTCAAGCTGAAAGCGGTGATATATCTTGCCTTGCTTTTGCTTAGTGAAAACTTGCTAGCTATTGAACTGTCAGGCAACATGCAGCGGAATAAATCACTTATGCCAATGTTGCTATGAAGAGAAAAGTGAGATATCACCATTTTCAATGTCCACCAAAGTTCAGACGTCAAAACATCTTCTTTTGTTTCAAAGCTGGTAAGTTCACCATTGTGGTTGGCTTTAGCAGTGGATACAGGCTTGCCCTCCATCTCTACATTCACAGTAGCAGTAGACACTACAGTGCTGATATTGGAGCAAGAAACTGCAGTTGCATTGGTCTCAGCGGACAACAAATCAGAAATGCGTGACTGCGCTTTGCTTTTCACTTCACTGTGTTTCTTAGCTACAAACTTGTTGTGTTTGCTGCCTTTGGCACGACTCTTCAAAGCTGCTTCCCCCATATTTAACAGGGCGAAGTCTTTCGAGCACAATGTACTACATATAGCCATACCTTCATGCTTTGGATAGCGAGTAAGCCAGTCACGATAAGCTTCTATCCTTAACCACAAGTCATGAAATTTACACTTCCCATGTATGGTGATGTAGAAATTACACACTGAAGATAGAATGCTGCCACCGCAGATCAAAAAGTTGTCGAATGTAACTGAGCTCGGTGACCGAGCTCAGGTGATTGGTTCTCCAATCAGAACGCATGAAACAAGAGACTGCACAAACAGTAAACACACGCAGCACAGAAAAACACTCTTTTTTTCTTTTTATTTGCAAATTTCATGATTTTCCAAAACCTGAAATGAAATCCAATGACTTTCCAGGCCTGGAAAATGAAAAATCAAATTCCATGACTTACCAGGTTTTCCATGATCGGTACGAACCCTGATCCTGGGTTACAGGCTTATAGCATATAATAATTTTTTGAAACGTCAATGCCAACTGCCTAGCCGAGCATTTATCGGCGTTGCGCTGAAGCCTGCCTATACTGACTCCCTTTTAAATAATTGTGTGACTATAAAAGCCAATCTTTATGCTTCGGGTGTTTGAAGTTAAATATTTTGTGTTTGTGGTTAAGCTTTGAACATTTGAAAAGCATTACACTGTATTTAGTGTCGGTAGCAGCACAGTTTTGTTTATTGTCATAAATAAAGAAGATTCTGTTTATGGCTACACATTAATGATGTTTTGGAGCTGTGAACTACAAATTGTACATCTTGAAGACGATGCTGGTCAGGTCAAAAGAGTTGAATTAAAAAAAAATATATTCTTAGCTAATAATGACTTGTTCATTTCAAGTAAATTAGCGTTTTTTGTTCGCCTATTTTAGGGAACAAAACTAGGATAAGACTTTTTGAAACTTTTATCAATAGACAAATAGAATGAGAGAGGAGACAAATGATGTGTTGGATATGACTCGAATAATTCTAAATTATTTGCAACAGAGCGCAAGAAGTTCAAGGACGTGATGAAGCACTGGACGCCGGTGCGCTGAGGATCCTGCCTCCATACGCGTCTTGCTGTCAGGCAGGGCATCATCGCGAAAAATGTACAGTAGCGTGGTAAATTGTAACTAAAAAATTATTTACTCGTCTAAATTTTGTTTATCCTTGAGGAATAAATCAGAAAATTATTTTGAAGGGAATGTTTTGATTGGTAATGGTCATTAGAATATAAAACAAAAAAACCTAATGCTATGCACAATGGAGGCTCGGATTCCGTTGTGTTGAGCGCAACCTTCGAAGATGAGTTATGCTTATGCCTCGCAATATTTTTAGAATAAATTGATATTTCAGAGCTCTAGTTATTACCATTGCTTTGAAAACAATTGTCTTGCTTTTCAGTGCACGTACTTGGCTCAGTTATGGCTTCAATTCATTTTTGTATTGGTATTTGGTGCGTCTGATAATCAGCTTTTATTATTACATCACATTCACATTGTTTTATGCTCAACTTGCTTTACTTGGTTTCGCAAATTTGAAAGAAAGTTCATGGTAAATGAATAATTTATTACAAACAAAGTGTGCACGTATCGAGTTTTAATGCAAATTAATTTAACTTAAGACTAGAAATGAGCATTCGTCTTGTGAATGACGAACTTAAAGTATGGACACAAAAATTCCTAACCTTGAGTTAGGAAGAGTTGAAACGAGAAATAATTTGTTAGAGTGAACGAGTACACAATAAATGCATCTAGTACAGTTTGATGCGGAATGTAATTCTTCACGTCTATATTATTGGGGTAAAATGGGTTCCAAGAATATTTAAAATTGCGGTCGTTTGTAATCCATGGTCTCGGTGCTCTGTAGAGCATCGCCTCTTCTGTCGTTACGAAGAAATTCTACTTCTTGCAGACATTACTTATCTCAGGCACAAACATTGTTTCTATCGATAGGAACATTTCTCTCCAGTACCTACGATTACAAGAAAAAATGTAACACAAAATAATAGCAGTCAAAAATCACAGCCCGATAGCACAATAGCTATTGTACTAATAACACACTTCGGGTAAAGCCTCGCCACTTTTCTTCCTACTCGTGAAGTTTGTGTGACAGCGCCGCTGCAGGTAGGCGAATTTAGCCTGCACTACGTGATGAGGTCACAAGTCTTCCATGCCAGTCATGCGCCCGTGGTCCACATTCAGCGGTCAGGTCACAAGTCTTCCATGCCAGTCATGCACCCGTGGTCCACATTCAGCGGTCAGGTCACAAGTCTTCCATGCCAGTCATGCGCCCGTGGCCCACATTCAGCGGTCAGGTCACAAGTCTTCCATGCCAGACATGCGCCCGCGGTCCACATTCAGCGGTCAGGTCACAAGTCTTCCATGCCAGTCATGTACTCCTGATAAGCATTAATGTAGAGATTTTTCTCCTGCTGGGTCATGCGTCCTATGACAGAGTTGTCGACGGCCGTGAGAGGTATCCTCTCGCCACCGACGTAAATCATGGGCACGCTATCGTTGTCGCCTTCATCCTCGTCCTCGCTGTCCATCACGTGCATCGGCTCTTCATCTGGAGAACATTTACGCAGTATTAATTTTAATTTAATATGAGAACGTTTAAAGCTCACTTACTAAGTTCAGCAAACAGGGCTGATAATCGTGAACGAAAGTTCTAGAACTGCACGAATCCTGGACATGTGAATTGAAGAATAGGTATGAGTCAAATCTAGAACATTCAATTTTATGTTTTACTGCAACTTAAACGAGACTCGTGTGTTCGAAGCCATGTTAATACTAACGCTACCAACTGACATGTTCTCGAGTTTGAAACAAATAAATTCACGGTTTGGATCACAGTGATTGCACATGCACCTAATATATTATACATGACTTTTATGAGATAAATACTATTGCAGCAGTTTTTTTCACTGATTTCGGTTGGAGAACTTTGCATGCTCACTAGAAGCCAAGACAACAGAATGACATCCGCCTAAAGAAAAACTTTGCACGTGTTTATAGACGTTCCTAACTTCCATAATTTTGCTCTGCTATCAAACCATTGTTTTCGTTTCCAAATAATCATCAAAATTAATCAAAATAATGCTGGCTCTCGCAAAGTGATGCATGAGTATAACGAAGTGCCACACCGCCATAGGAATATTTCAAGCGATGCCTTGCTGCTCTACCGCACTCACTGTACGTGAAGGGTGCGACGACTGCAGGATTCTTCTTCTTGGGCAGCTCCTCGACGCTGTCGTCGCTGTCAGAATTGTCACCAGCTTCTTTCCTGCTCTTCGGCTCGTGAGCCTACAAGATAATGGAAGGTGACATTGATATACGGCAATTAAGACTCGTACAGAAAATAAATAAGTGTGTGATGAGCGATCGTTAAATGATCTATGAGCTCGGGAAATCGAATGAAATTTTTACTACTAGAATAAAGACATCCCAGTGTTTTTGATTGAACAAAAAATTCGTTCGTTTTCCTTCCATCTGGAGGCTCGGAATGTTCAAGATGAGGGAATGACAAGTGTATACGAGACCAAAACGTCTCGGGCACAGTACAAGAGCAACGACTTCACAGGAGGAATTGGTAGTTTTTGTTTAAATTACATTGAATTTTAACATTTGCAATGATTGAATTGGCTGACAAATAGTGAGCTTTCAATAGGGGCTTTGGTTACGTGAGAATAAATCAAGGTTAATTAAATGTATTCCCTTGGAATCTAAAGTCGAATAGAAGGAATAAATAATTACGTGATATTGAAGGTGATCTTGATCTAAATACGTACAGCCTTTTACACAAATGTAAACAACTACTAGAAAGTTGTCGAGCAATCTAAAATACCATCAATTCCCATTTTTCAACTCAAACCATGTCACCATATATGTCACGTTCACCATAAAACTCTGGAATAAAGGCTGAGTTTCAACAGATTGTGCTAGAAAACTATACCTACCTATGAAACAATGCTTTTATTTTCTCATAGACGCAAATTAAGGTTATTGTTTCATCAAAAAGATGAGGAAGGCGAATAAATCAGAGTATATGTAGTGTCGCGACCATGAGCTCCGCCTCACCTGTAGTAAGGACAAGACGTCGTCCTTGGCAGGTGCTTCAGTCTGGCCCGTCTTGGAGACGCTCTCTGCGACGGTGACGGCGCTCGCACTCACGGGGCTGTTGAGGCGGCCGCCGCCGGCCACGCCTGCGCTCTCGCTCACCTGCATGTTATTATTTATTAGGAACCTGTTCATTTGGAATTACCAGTAACCTGTACATAGCACGTGACTTTGATCAGCACAAGCACGTGCCTTTGATCAGCACAAAGCACGTGCCTTTGATCAGCACAAAGCACGTGCCTTTGATCAGCACAAAGCACGTGCCTTTGATCAGCACAAGCAGCAAAAGCACGTATATTTTATCATCGCTATGTTGAACAAAGCAACAAAAGTGGTAGACACTCGGATTGATAGTAACCTGGGGCGAATTTAGGGATATCTACAACGTTTCGTAGAGCTAATCATTCAAGTTAACTGCACTCCTTCCACGGGTTTCATCTCGAATAAGATAAGTACCGTACGTGTTTCAATATGAATAAAAAGAAGGACATTCTTCTATGAAGAATAAGCAGACCTGCGCAGGGTCGGCCTCCTCTGTGGTGATCTGTGCGGTGATGAAGGAGCTCGCCTGTGACAGCCACGCAGGTTCCTCCTTCGCCTTCTGCGTCTCCTCGACGGCGTCTTCCGTGTTGATCGTCACGTCTATTGAACCTTCCACCTGTACAACATCTTCACTTTAATGCTTATTTTAATACAGTTTCATAGTGCTCATTACTATGGCTACTGTAACGTATTGCATAAAGATACATCAACAACCGTTTAAATTTTGTAAAGCTTAATTGTTTTACTGTTATCAAAACTGCGTTAATCTTTCAGTTTATAAAATCAAATTTTATTTATGGGTCAGATAAAATATATGCAAATTATTCCGTATTGTATCGCTTGAAAATTAACCACTAAATGTTTATTCATGTCCCCTCATGAGTTATTTTCACTTTACTCAAACGTGGCTTTGAATAGCACAACATTAAAATAAGGGATAAAGTTACCTGGAAGCCTTGCCGCTTAGTGGCATCTCCAGACCAGGCCCTGTTGTCCGATGCGCTCTTCGCGTGTCTGCTCACCCTGCCGGCAACATTTGACTTTGTTAAACTTGAGATAAGATAAAATATAATCCATAAAACATAGTGATATAATTTACCTTCAATAACAAATAAAAATAAACAATGAATATAATTTATATTTTACATATATTAGAAAGTCCATTTTAGATATTTTAATATGAATGGAATAGAATTTTTTATTTCAATTCATTTCAATTTATTCTGACGAAATAAAGTAAAATTTACAATTTCCTCCCGTCTCTGAGGCGCGAGGTTAGTGAGAATTCTCTGTCTAATGCGAGTTGGAACGAGTCTATCAATAAGTCACATTACTGCAGGATATTAGGTACCTATTAGGGATAACGGTACATAAATTAATTCATAGCAAAATCATTGCAATATTTTTGCAGTCTAATCAAAACTTGAGTAATCATTATGTCACTGCAATTGAGTTATAATCAGGCAACAAAAAAGCGGACGAAACCCCGAAAATGTGACCACATGATTGTCGGGGTTCCGTAAGTCAGTGACCTGATTGTCTAATTTAGAGTTTATCTAACCACTCACCCAGGCTTTTTGTTGAGGCTCATTTCCTGTGGATTAGGATCAGAAAATTCTGCAGCCAACTTGATGTTTTCAACCTGCACGTTGAAGAATGCAAAATCAAAATCCTTGATCCATCTATTGCACTGATTACAGAGCAAACATTCGTCTTGCCCTTCCGACTACTGGAAATTATTAGATATATGTGAAATTTGATAATTTAAATTATCAGCGTGTCAGAATATAACTGGTATTTTTCCCCAAAATAAGAAAAGTTAAATATAATAATACTTTTCTTCAACAAATACCCAAAACTATGTATTCATTATCATCAAATAACAGAATTAATGCACGAAATTACCATCCATGTACAAGCTACGATGGCCAAGGCAACGGCACCGCAATGCCAAGTACTCAACATAATGAGCCATTAACCCAGCAGCGGTCACTTGCAAAAACTGACCAACTTGGTCACCTTTTCGTTCGGTTTCGTTACGGTCGATTTTTGTAGGCGCTGATTACATGCGTAATACACGCGACATTATAGCGTTAACGCAGAGACCACCGACTTTTTAGTGCCTAACTAGNAGCAGAGTTCACTGAAGAGACCACCGACCTCATAGTAACTAATACGAGCAGAGTTCACTGAAGAGACCACCGACCTCATAGTAACTAATACGAGCAGAGTTCACTGAAGAGACCACCGACCTCATAGTAACTAATACGAGCAGAGTTCACTGAAGAGACCACCGACCTCATAGTAACTAATACGAGCAGAGTTCACTGAAGAGACCAGCAGCAATACTTTCAAAACTGGCTAAGTGAACGTAAGTACTTACGCTCTATTTTCTCGTCTATGATTGGTGGATTTTTCTTGTAAGGCCGTCAATGATTGGCTGATGAACTTACGATCTCTTAACTTTGTTTGAAAGTATAGGCCCAGACCTCCTTGAGGAGCGTGAAGAGCGGCTCGAGCTGCTCATTGAAGCGCGTGAGGAGCATCCTGCTGTCGCTGCGGGGGGCGGCGGCCATGTCCTCCTGCACCTCCGTCCTGCAGATGATGCACACCAGGAGGCCTGTCATGGGGTCCAGCAGCTGGTCGGCCTGTACACACACACGGTTTCTTTAATGTGTCTATCAAATTACTTACACTTCATTGTATATAAATATTTATGATATCAAAAGCAGCGTTACTGTCAGCTCGCTTTTTATTGCCGATCGTCTCCCCTCCCCACAAAGGTTTAGAAACATATGCAAATTTCTTAATAATATAATATTTCCATTCCAGTTTCGAGTTAAAAGCTTACCTCCTTTATATCTTCGTCCAACAATAACTAAAAACTTTCTTACCATGGAAATTTACAATATATTATACCCATAAGGGTTGAATTACGAGATCCTATTATATACCACTAACTAAAATAGTTTAATTACCAACTTTTATTTGGAACGTCAACAGTGTCAAGCTCTGGACAACTGGCATCCGGTCTACATAAATACAAATGATCCGCTACTTTCATAGGATAGGAAATATGGAATAATTAGCACTGACGAGTAGCAAAATAAGTTTAGATCATATACCGTAATAGCAGATTGAAACAAATCAGTTATTTAGATGAAATTATTTGATCTCTAGTCCAAGAAAGTTTAGACTAAATCCAAATTCTTAGCACATTAGTTCTACACAGAGATTTACGTTTCTCTAATGAGCCTAAAGTCGAGTGTTGTGTTGGTGTTCTCACAAGTGTCAACTGAGAGTGTCACTCAAACCACTTCCAGAAAATATTCGATGTTCTCTGTAGCATGTTTTACAACATTACTTGTTATAGATATAGTAGAAGCAATCCATGTATGTCGGAAGTTCAGCAACTCATGTTGTTGTCCAGAGATACACAAGAATTATGATGCAAAACAAATGGTGTTCAATTAGCTCGGTGATGATGAATATAAATTTTAGGAATATCTCTCAGACCCATAGTAGTGGCCTGCAACGGAGTTTCGATATGGACTTTCAGTGGCCTGATATGGACTGATACAACAGAATCTTTTGAACATCACAATGTTTTGGATGAATGATGCAAATTCTAGAGGTTATTTGCCTCATGGACTATAGCTATTAGATATCTTATTCCCCGTTAATCTGAGAAACCATCATTTGTACAAGTCATAGCACTAATTACCTCCCATGTTGACGTCGCTCATTAAGGGACAAATATTGCAGACTAAAATTAAGAAAAAAAGTGTTACAGGTTCCTGATTTAAATTAGACAGGCCTTATAACCATTGGACCATAATAGTTGGCGGCTAGATCAGCCAACAGCAGTGACAGGATCGCAGAAAACATGAACCTAATACACCGGCATGGAACAATAGCTTTTGTCTGAGGGTCAATTGACATCACAAGCATACCATTCAAATCCAAGTTCTAGTTTTCTGTCTCATCATCAAACTATAGCCCATAGATCACAAGCTTATGTATGGTAAAGCTGGAATATATTCCTGGTATATCAATGAGTTCAATCGATGGTTAATATACTTCTCCAATAATATCTTAAGTTCCCTTTAAAATAAACTCAAATTATTATTGAGACATCGCAAATTCATAATTGGGCTTCTTGAGTTATAAAAATAGTGTCAAAACAGCCAAGAATTAATGAACTATTAAGCATTTCAAGCCTGCAGGAAGCTAATCCAGCAGGTGGTCATAAGCTACCTACCTCAAGATCTGTGTAGGTCCTCTGGCAGTTGGAGCAGACAAATGACGCTCTGCTGGTCTGATCTCGCTCCTCCATTTCCAGCTTCTTACGGATGTGGTCAAGTTTGTACTTCACCACATTGACAAAACTCTGTAAAAGCATTGCAGTTATGACAAAAATATGTGCTTGTTGCTACTAATTAAAAACTATCTAGTAAATATTCCAAGAATATAAAAAACATTTGATTATGGAAAAAACAACATTAAGATTCCAGAATGTTGTTTCTTCAAGTCAATTGGTTTAGGTTTAGACTAGTTCCAAGCTAGAGCCAAAATTAATTCTGGAATTACTATTAACATTGAGCACAATAACATATAAATTTCCTTTTACCCATTTCACCATTTGTCAACTAAAAATGTTTAATGTGATATTGGAAAGAAACATTCATTCATTTGAGCTAATTTGTCAAATTAATCCAGCCAGTTTCATTCAATAGCAATAGCTAAGTAGAAACATGAAAAAATTTAAGCCAATTCAATACTTCATTTACATCCTTCAGTCATACAAGAAAAGTTTGTGGAACTACCAGCACAGCAATACTTTACCTGATAAACTAGGCCATGTACTGAAACTTTTAGAAAATATCACAGTTTTTGTCTTACCCTGTCAACTGTAAATGGGTTCTCCTTGGAAGAAATGTCTCGTCAGCCAATTCAAAGAATAAATCATAGTGCATTGATTTGGTCACACAAGTTGAAAACTTGATGGTGGAGAATAATTAAGCTGTACTTCAACAGGAGCCTAAAATTTGAAATTATATTAGAAAGCAGAACAATAGAAGAAGTACCTTACAAAACATTTCACTCACCTTGTAGTTGATAAAATAATACTGTTCTCTTTGAGACTTTCCATCTTCTAAAGTAATCATTTTCATCTTTGTTTGTAGAAGTTTGTCTGTCTTGAGTGTGTTTATTCTCTGGCGCAGCATCTTGCGGTCAAATTTTAGAAGATCACAAATGCTGTCTTCACTCAGGCCTGAAATAGATCAAATAAAAAATTACTGAGAAAACACTACCAAACCTAAAAGACTTCAGCTTTAGAATGATTTGATTGATCCTTAGTTATTTATTTTGGAAAAATTAGTTTGAAAGTCAACTTTTTTTAGTAGTCAACACTACTTAAATTCTTGGTAGAATTTTTACTTAAAATATAGTGCACTTTAAAAAAAATAAGCACGTTTTTAGCCAAAATGAATGCCAAAGATTCATATTCCAAAAACAGCTTTCCTAATTATAATAGCATTATTCTAAGATTTAGAAATTAATCAACTAGGTATATATATTATCTATCAATTTGAAAACATCATGGACAAATTGAATTAAGTGTTTAATTACTAAATGGGTAATAGTATTTTTCCAAAAAAGTTCAAGTTCAGATATCTTGAAGATACTAGTAGGTAAAAGTGACTGATGAAGCAAAAAATGGAAAAATTTTGTGATTACTATGTATATGGTACATGTCAAAGCTCATTATTCAGAAGAGTGTTGCAAAAGTTGCAGCAAATCATACTGAAGACTGCATTTTTAGAATCATGATATATCCACAGAATATGCAGCAATCAAAAAGTTTGCCAAACTATGGAGAACACCTTATGAAGTTAAGAGTTTATTCAGAAACTAAAACCTAGAAATAATTTTTTCTGAGCCTACCATCAAGACAATTCTTGGCGTTTACATACATAGTAGCAGCTAATGTTTTTCATATATAGCTGAACCCCATATCTCTACAGATTGGACTCCAGCTATCCATCTCCTAACTACCAGATTTGTCTGACAGACTTTAGGATGGTTTTCAGAGGGATTTTTCTGGCTGAAAATTTCACTTTGTATCTTTTTTATGTATATTACATACTTTTTTCAACCAAAATCTCATTAATGTAATGCTTCTTGTAACTTGAAAATGAATGTTTGTTGCATTCAAAACATTGTTAATAAACTATAACTACTTCATAAAACACGCCTTTTGATCTACCAACAACATCTGAAGAATTGTAGGATTCTCTGATAACTTAAATCAACTATATAACTCCATGGTCATTAATCGCACATGTACTGTCAACTGGGGTGATAAGGGAGGGGTGGGGTAATAAGGGACAGTCCTCCGACATTTTGTAGAAATGTTGTAGCAGCTAAACTAATCAAAATATTGCATAACTAAAAATAGCGGCATAAAGTTCAACATTTTTACTATCTATGTAGCATAAAGCAAGTAAAGAAATCACACATTTATTACATGTAAAAAAATCCCTGAAAAAAGAGAAAAGAGAGTATTTGGAAAAGTACCTCTGCTCAGGTCTGTAACAAAAAATATCTGTTGTATTAAAAATGTTTACTTTGGTGTTGGTAAAGGTTGCACAATCACTGGCGTTGGCTTAAAAACATGATTGACAGAATTTGTGTATCTCATTCCAAAAAAAATTGTGGCCATTTCCGCAAGACGGGATAATAAGGGACACCCTTAAAACTCATTTACGTACAGTAGAACCTTGGTTAGCAAAGGCTCCAGTTAAAAGAATCAGTTAATAACAAATAATTTTGATTACATTTACCTTGCTCAGTGAAAGAAATTTCACTTAACAAAAAATTAATGACTACCTGTCCACTCATACCTCCTGCCATTGACCACCTGGTCACTCATACTCNTCCTGTCTCTTATACACATCTAGATGTGTATAAGAGACAGCTCATACTCCCTGCCATTGACCACCTGGTCACTCATACTCCCTGCCATTGACCACCTGGTCACTCATACCTCCTGCCATTACACTCACCCTCTCATTCTAAATCACTTTGCTCCTTCTCTTTAAACATTTTTAAACATTCAACTTTAAACTCATCTTTCTCTTTAAACATTTAGAAGCAGATAAAATGCTAAGTAAATTTTTCATGTCTGCATTTTATTTGATTTTGTAAATTCTTGGTGAACTTGCAATTTAGGCAGATCAATGATATAAGTATCTATCTTTCTCATATTTAGGCAGAATAATTATATATCTATGTCTCTTTCCCAAATGCCTCACATTTCCCCAACAGTAAACATTACAGATCAGTAAACAGTAAAGCAGTAGCACCACCTCTCCTACCATCATACCTACTTTGTACTATGTCATTGCTCTCACTACCAGGAGTAGATATCACTGGTAATAATGAATAATGCTGATTGTTATTGATTAAAATAGAAGCAAATTTACTATGTAATTATGCTGTATTCACTTCATACCATTTTTTTCATATACTGTAGCCTTGTAAAGAGGAATACCCAGTAGTTGAAATGCAGTCTCATTTTGCCTGTCCTAATTTCATACCCATAAAAAAAAAGCTTAGGGTACCTACTGTAACTAATAACATCGATTCATTCAGAGAATAAAAACTACTATAAAGGAAAACGATGTCACAATTGAAAAACAATTGACAGAGCACATTCTTTGCACTTTTATTTCTGGGGTATCACTGTATTTGAAATAATTTACTTTATAACTGCTACTCACATGCATTACTATCATAGAAAATGTACTACACTAAATTAAAAATTTTATAAAAATCACAATTTGAAATGTCCATGAGATGCCTTTTAAACATAATTTTGTTTACAAAATTAGGTGAGTGTCATAGCAGTGTTACACCCAAGACAAGTGGAAAAAACCAAGCAGTACTTAAAAATATGCAGAAGAAATGATACTCACAGAGATTCCTTACAAGCATGTCAATGATCAACATGTCTTCAACTGTGTAGAAGCCTCTAACTACCATCTGCACAAGCTTTTGTAGACAAGTTGGCACTTCAGTGAGCACCTCGCCCTCCATAATTAGAATTTTGAAGAGAAAAGTTTGCCTGGAAAATAAAAATGTCTATTATAAATACAGATATGAGGACAGTTTTTCAATGAAAAAAAATCTGATTCCATTATGCATGGTAAATACTCAATCCAAGCAACAAGATTGTTGGCAGAGGGCATTATTTTCCCTTTATATAACTAATTTGAATAATTTGAAACATTTTTGTACCTAATTTATTTGATACTTGATAATTTATTCACATGCAGTTAATTTGTTGGTTTCCAAAGCTTCATTTACTCTTTCTTTGCAGTTATGTCTGCACTGCTTTAATAGAGCTTAAGATCATTTAGATATTATATTACAAGAGTTCATATACATATAAATTATTTGTTTCATGCATCAACTTCCTATTTACCATGCATAATTATTTCCAATAAATTTTTTATATTTTTGGCATTGTGTGCTAATTTAAGACAGCTGTGTGTTACCTGATTCTACGCTTCTAAATTTACATTTTGAAATATAAATTATTTATTACTGTGAATTCTCTTGGTTTTAGCATAATCAATTCACATCCTTTTTCAAGTTTTAACATGATAAATTGGCAGCCCTCACCAAGCATTAAGTTTTCTATTGTTGCTTGCTGCTGTATTGTTTTTTTCAGTAGTCTAATATACTTGTGAGTCATAGCCTGTGCTTTTAACCTGTATTCCCTAATTTTTTAGCTTGTGCAGCTAAGCAATCACAAATACATTTTTTACATGGCAATAAACATATTTTTATAAGTTACCCATATTATTTTGGCTGATAATATTATTGGTTTATCACACATTCAACTTCAATACTGCTACAGGGCTGTAAATTAAACTTATATTGCCAAAATAATTTTTTATTGTTGAATTTTTCTATTTAAAAAATAGAAATTTATTTTTCTAAAAATACCATGTGAGGTGCACAGACAGGATAGGATAGTCTACAGGTGGTAGGCCATTTATAGAATTGGATTTTTGCCTAACAATTTTGAGACTCATTCAAAGATATATATATATATATATATATATTGCATCTATATTACTTTGTTCTACTATACTGAACAACTGGGGAACCAGAGATGGGTCACATTCAGTTTGGTTAAACTATTAGTTACAATTGTAGGGATTTTGAGAATGCTTGTTTTAATTAGTTTCTTTTGCTTGTCCACAGTTTCCATGTTCAGTAAGTAGTAGCAAGTGTAATGCTTAGTTTCAGACTTTGTTTTCATAGTCAGCTTGTTTGATAACTGCCAGTTAGCACAGTTAGCAGTTTGAGAATGTCTTAATGCTTTTGCTAGCCAGCCCCCATACTGTTATGCTGCATTGAAGATTTTGTTGATCTTGCAGCTGTTTCAACATAATTGCTGTTTTTTTTATCATACATCATCACGACAAGGTTAGTCAAGGGAACTTTTTCTCATAGGCGAGTCAGTGAGATCTCTGTCACCATGCATTTAATTCCAATAATAATGCTTATTGCTAAATATTTTTCATATATATTGTCTGTTCATTTTATGGGCTTTTAGAGGGCCATGTTGGGTAAGGTAAATGTAAATATATTTTAAATTTGATTGTTGCATATCTTTCATGTTTTTTGTTCCTGCATTTTTGCACAGCAAGTTCTGGGTGAGTCTTGAGCCACTAATAAGAAAAGCTTGGGGCCAGTGCCTGGGCCTCTTTTGGGCCAGTGCCTGGGTCTCTTTTAGGCCAGTCAGTACAGTCTTGGAGCCCTTCTGTCACCCTTTACCATGTTTCAAACAGACCATCACAGCATTCTCATTTCTCAGTATAGACACCACTTGATGACACATGGTGAGTACAGGCCCTCATTATTGTGTTAATTGCTTGCTAGTAGTCCCAGTCTGTTTCAAAATGTGGTATAACTTATTTCTAAGCATCAGGGGTTTAATCGAGATATAATCAACAAGGAGGGTGTATGATTTCAACATGCATTTGATGCTGTGGGTTCAGTCAATAAAAACTTGTTTGATATCCTTTAGCTAGTCCTATTTACATATACCCAAGTGATTTGTTTGCATGAATTTTATGTCCATCTTTTTTCTCAATGTAATTACCCTTATTTCCCTTTTTTCTACTTTTTTTACTGCTACAGGACTTGCAATGTGTTGTAGCCTATTAGTGGCAACTAGCATTGGATGCAGTTTAAGAATTTTGCAGAGGTTGACCTAGTGAGTCCCCTCTTGCCACCCTTTGGTTTGGCTGATAGTTGAATGGGTTGTGTCATGCTCTTGTCAGGCCGTCATCTAAGTGTTATTCAGAAAAAAGTATTTATTGGGTTGATATATTTTATTTTTGGTCAATTGTTATTTTTGTGCAACCTGTGATTTGAGATCTTTACGGCTTACTTCCATTTCATCCAACTCATAGTCTAACCCTTTCCTGGGTGGACATAAATATGGTATACAATAAAATTGCAATATTTGATGATAGCACTTGAAAGTATGACCAATTCTATGATATATTCACTCCTGTGCATTTTTCAAAAATTTCTGTATATAAGTAGTAAATCACAATTAATGAAGTGATCATATAAGGGGCCTTGGCAGCTTAAAGGTAAAAATTCACTGATTTTGACATTGAGATTTTACTATTTAGATGGTAAATAACCACTTGATCGCTCTTTTATGGTGGTATTATAACACATACAGGGGAAGCAATCAAGATGAACAAAATTATAGGTATTTTTAGTATTTTATGGCAAGATATTTCTAGACATCCATATAATGAGAAGCCAAGTTTTCACCTATCACATGCCACACACTTTGGTTCATCAAGGAAGCTGTTTATATCTGCATTCAGATACAGGTGCACCTTCCACATTTAGCACATAAGGTTGGATCTGATGATGTGCCGTGCTTGCAAGTCTGGAGATTCAAGTAATGAGGAAAGTGCTCCAGGAGCAGGAACAAGGGCAGGGTTTTATGATCTGTAATAAATTAACTTTCATGTCCTCTTTCCAGCTTTGGAAATGTAGGGGTGAGACGTTTCAGGATTATTTTGATTAGCAGTGAGACTCCTAGGTCCTTGAGTGATACTTGTTTTGGGAAGAGCATAAAACAGCTTCATCCTGAAGTCAGTCAGGGACAGGTCTTATGTTTTCTGATAGTCATGTTGTAGCAGTTCCCGGTAAGCCTGCACAAATATGTGAGACTGTAGCTCTTGCGTTGGTGGACATGGAAACAAATACTGAATGTGGTCAGGAGTCACATACAGGAAGGCATGAAACATGGAAAACACTAAACAATTTACTTCTAACAAAACACAAAATACAAAATGGCAGATACAACAATAACTGAATGGTGCCTAGTCTAACTGAAACACTAGCGGTGGTGTCAGTTCAGCCCACTTGGTGGTCCAGGTAAAGTGCGCTAATGAGAAGACCACTGTGGCCTCTCAGCGTTGTAGTTTCGAGTAACTGAGATACCGTCAAACGGGGTAAAAAGGGATGGGCGGGGTAAATTGGGACGCATGTCCCGTATTTTGTAGAAATGTTGTAGCAGCTAAACAACCGTAAAATGGGGTAACTACGACCACTTTTTTTATAAATGATACCATTTTTTTACTAGATAAATTAAACTTGAATTGAAACATGCAAAATACAGGTCTATACTCTAGCTTCACTCACCATAAATTGCTGGCTCCTGCCTCTCATAGTCTGTGTAATTTCAAAAAAAGTGATGGTCTTTGTTACCCCAGCTCTTGGGGTATCTTAGACCGGGTGGTAAAATCAATTATATTTTTTGGTAAAGTAACTCCAAATAACTGCAGGTTTTGGTGCATCGTAGTAGAACTAATTAAGTTAAAATTACCATATATAAGACTCTGTAGAGTCTGAAACATAAAGAAAAAACATAAATAGGCTGTCAAACATAAAATATGTTATATATGGTAATTTTATATTAACTTCCAAGCCGGTCTATGTTACCCCGTCAGGGCTGACATTAGATGGTCTAAGTTCCCCCATTTAGGGCAGCGCCCCCCATTTGCAAACTATGACACTTTCCTAAAATTTGTCATTTGCATATGTAACTAGAAGAGTTCTACTACAATGCATCAAAACCTGGAGTTATTTTACCAGAAAATTTTAAAAATGGAGGGGGTACTCTGACAGGCTTTAAATAATAGCTTTTTTTCGTGGGTCACATTTTTAATTTTTTAACCTATTAGATATGCAAACTTTTTAAATCTTTCTATTGTGTTATGTAGCCTCAGTACCATCAACCAGGGCTACTCAGGATGGGCGGGGCTACTCGGGACAGTCCTCCAACATGGCGTAAAACTGTTATACCGTCAACCGGGGCTACTTGGGACGGTTTTGAGCGTTTTTTGTTAATAACTTCTTACGATGAAACATTTCATAAACAAATTTAGGCTCATTTTATAGCTTCAGCCATTTCCGCATGGCGGGGTTACTCGGGACACCCCTCCCAGGGTAATTAGGGACACCCTTAAAAATGCATTTACAGTAGAACCTCAGCAAAGGTTTCAGTTAACAAAAAATTTATTAACAACAAAGTATTTTGATTATATTTACCTTGCTCAACGGAAAAAAAATTCACTCGTCAAAAAATTAGTGCATTATCATTCGTTACAAAATTGTACATAGAATGCTATGTATAGAATTGTGCACCGGGCATCATAGAATGAAAAGTAATTGACCTAAACTATGATTTATTTCTCCAAAACATATGATGGTTGTCACTAAAACATGTTCTGCTTCAGGTATGTTTTTCAGGATCTTTTTTGTTATAGTGAAATCACTTGACTCAATTAAAATTGTGCAAAATTACAAACGATCCTGTAAGCTTACAGATACAGAAGAAATGCTACATGGCTGCTGATATGAAGCTTGCAGTGGACAAGGTCATTGTCAAAGCTCAATGGCATGTCCATGGAAACAGTAATATCACATTATTAATACAGTAATTAATGAATATGATAATATAATATCAATAAAGGAAAAACAAGTAAAAATCACAGAAAATGTCATTTATTTTACATCTACATCATCTAAAATGAAAGAGGAGGACTTCAAAGTACTGTTAGTAATGGATGAGTACACTCTGCATGCTTCAAACATTTTCAAATCAACTTTTATTGCAAGTGTCCCGGATTACAACGTTCCCAGGGGTAAATCGGGATGGTTTTATTTTGCGTCTGGCACCTTACGAATAGCATGTGGAATTTTTTTGAAGATGCCATTGGATAGCCGTTGCAAAGAGCTATAAAATGAGCCTAAACTTGTTTCTGAAATGTTGCATGGTAACATGGTAAGAAGTTATTAACAAAAAACGCTCAAAACCGTCCCTTTTACCCCGTTTGATGGTAATAGTAAAGTGAAAAATGGAAATAGTTATTAAAAGCTTCTGCTGCCAGATAATAACAATGTCTTACTCAAACATTAGCCAAGGCCAACTATGGTTTTAACAACCATAAATCAAGTGGTAGTAACAATCCCTGAATAGGCTTCAGGTACAAGCCAAGGAGTGAATGTTGGCAAGGCAGAACTTGACCGCTGGTGGAGGGATGGCGATCAATGCTGAGTGGCTTGTGGACCAAGTCACACACACTCACGTACCACCCCCAAGCACACCACACTCAAACCATGCTGCACTGAGCACCATCACTCTTACCTTATGGCAGGCAGTATGCCCAAAGGGTTTTAGCCATCTTACCATTTCTTGGGCTGTTGGGAGAGCTAATGATTACCTAGGGCCTAGAGCACACTTTGAAAGCAAATGGTATGTGGCAAGCAAATAGAAACAAATAGGTGCCAAGCACAGGAATGCATAAGCAGACTAGGTCACACAATGCCTATGTGGTGAACATCAATGAAAGTAAAGCAAGAACAAATGCAACAGTTATGCAGTTCAAGAATTAAATCTGCAAATCCGAATTTTGCACTTCTGGTATATAGCTAGTCAGCCTAAAGGTTCAACTACTCTAGACCCAATAATATGATTCCCTCACTGATGTATTGGGCATTCATGAGTGGATTCAAGGGATTATAAAAGACAACTGGCCCTACTAAGTCGCACAAGTCATTAAATATACTCCTATGGTACTCCTAGTCACACTAGCATCCTAATCAGTGTAAATATACTCCTAGAAACAACTAGGAAATTGGACTAAGTCACATATGTCTGGTTTCAAAGTATCTAGGCAAAGTGCAAGGCTCATCTATTTCAAGTTGGTATCCAAATCATATTTTGGTTCATAGGTGGAATGTCTTTATCTTCTTTCTTGATGGCCAGGAGTTGGTTGAGTGGTCTTAGGCTCTCATCAAGAAGACTGTAGCTCCACACCAACCGCTCCTAAATGTCAAATAAATGCATTCATAAGAACTAGCCTTCTAGAAATCATGACATCAGGAGGATGTTTAAAACTGTTTTGTCAAACACTATGTCATCAATGCATTAGTTTCAGAAGTAAAGTTGTTCAAGGGTGGACACAACATGGTACAGGTAAGCAAAATGAAAATAGTGCTATAAAAAGATAGGATTACCATTAGAACCAGTGAAAACATCCATCATTCATCATAAACAGGCATGAATAACTGGAAAACACTTGTTAAGAGCTAAGTAATGACAAATAGTAGCATGGCAACATTTTGAGGAGATGAAATGCACTGTACCGTACTCACCAAAATGGAGCATCAGGATGGGATAAGCAAGCAGAGGTGTAGATCGAATCATGCATTAAGGCGTTTTAAGCAGGCTTTTGAAGGACAGAAAATAATCAGGTGCAACCAGTGAATTTCTAATTCAGCAATGAGGGGTGCAGATTAATCAAAAGTGCATATCATATGGTATGGACATGCAAGATATTTGTCTCATTAACTTTTACTCTGCTTAAATATTACACCAAGGGGAACAAGATACAAGGTTAATAAGATGCACATGACACTCAAAAAATAATTAAATAAAACATGACATACATTAAGGTACAATTGTAAATGAATGATTCTACTATATAATTTAGCTAATGTTCTGTGACCCTCTTCAATGTAGGTAGTCACATTCATATATCACATATCCCTCCAACTGGTGCAAGAATCATCAGCAAAAATTTATGTTGGTGAAGGACATGTTATTGTCTGGGTCAAGGCAGAGACAATCTTGCTTGTTGTTGTTAGTTGCGACCATCACGCTTGCCGTGGGAGGCTCTGGTGGAGGGCAGGGGGCCGGCACCGAAAGAGGGGGGAGATGGGCAAAGGCAGGGAGGGTAGCCAGGAAAGCCGCTGCATCCACGGGGTTGTCCCACAGTGAGTAGACGCTGAGAGACGTGGGGAAGATGGAGCAAGCAAAGAGGTGCTGAACGGACTGAAGGGAATCCCTGCACTCTGGGCAGGCGGAGCTAGGGGAGCATCCGATTCTGGCGGAGTAGGACGCCAGGGAGCTGCAGTATCCCGAGCAGAGCTGGGATAACGCTGAGTGGTAGGGGCGAGTTAGTGAGGCCTCCACTGAAGCAATCGATGGTGGCGGGGCAGCAAGTATGGCATTTATGGTGTCAGTCGCCACCACGCGGAAGGTAATCTCCCTGCAGAGAGACAGCTTGGCTTCTCCGTATGTCCCAGTAGGCAAGATAGTGAAGATATCATTTGCCAAGAGTGGTGTGACAAGATGGCCGAACCTCGACTGTATCAAGGCTTTCATAGGGCGGTCACCAAGAGGGGCAGAAACCCAAAGAGGGGAAAATGTGAGTCAAGGAACAAAGTAGTTGAAGGACATAAGAGAGTCAAGATACAAAGTAAGTTAGAATCAGTGCATTAACATTGTGTGCATTTGGGGCGGTCCATTCTAGCTTTATAACGCTGATTGGATTCCAGTGGCTGTGACGTTGCACACGTTCTGATGAACTGTAAGCCAGAATATGAAAGTGTGTCATTGGACAAAAGTACAAAAGTGAATCAACAAATGAAAGTTAGTCAAATAATAAAAGTGAATCAACAAACAGAAATTAGTCAAATAACAATAGTGAATCTTAGAACAAAAGTGAGACAAAGAACAGAAGTGCATTAATGAAAGAAAATGAGTCAGCGGACAAAAGTGAGTTGAGAAAGGAAGTGTGTTAAAGGATGAGAGTGATTTGAAGAACAAAAGTGAGTCAGTGAACACAAGTAAGTCAGTGAACAAAAGTGAGTCAAAGAATGAAAGTGAGTCAAAGAAAGAAAATGAGTCTATGTACAAAAATAAATCATCAGACATAAGTGAGTCAAGGGTAAGGAGCGTGTCAATGTGCTAAAGTGATTTGAAGAACGAAAGTAAGTCCAAGAATGAAAGTACGGTATGTCATAAAATGAAAATGAGTCAGAGAATGAAAAATGAGCAAATCAAAAATGAAAAAGTTAGTCATATAACAAAAGTGAGTCAAATAACAATAGTGAGTCATATAAGAATAGTGAGCCATATAAAAAAGTGGGTGAAATAACAATAGTAAGTCAAATAACAAAAGTAAGTCAGATAACAAAAGGGAGTCAAATAACAAAAGTGAGGCAAATAACAAAAGTGAGTCATCTAACAAAAGTGAGTCAAATTACATAAGCGAGTCAAATAATAAAACTGAGTCAAACAACAGCTGTGAGATTTCCTACCTACTGAAATTATATGATATTAGAGCCGCAATATTTCAGAGAAAATTATAAATTTTCCAGCCGCTTATGCGGGTCGCCTGCCAAAGACCACCACTGCCCTAGATGTAATTGACCATCATGGTTCCTGCCTTCCAGAATATAGCCTTCAACACTTCAAGCCAGGGTTGGCGATTTTTTTGATTTTAAAAAAAATAAAAAATAAAAAATCAATGATTTTTTTTATTTTTTCATTATTTTTTTATTTATTTGATTTTTTTTTTCAGCTTTTTGTCTTTTTTGAGGTGTTATTTTTTATGTTGTAATTAGCCTACTAACAATAACAGTATATGGATCAAAATGGATGGCTAAAAAGGGCACTTATTGCCTCCAATAATGGTCAACAGGCCAAGGTGGTGTTTACCACTTAGAGATTTTTGGGTAAACAATTATTGATAAGTCTAATTAGCTTTGTAAAGTTTGTATGGACTATGGAGCAAGGTAATGAGCTAAATATTGACCATTTAACTGGCCCACAGCTAAGGGGACAGATTATTGCAGCAGAGGTTATAGCCATACCTCGCCATATGTGTGAACGTGCTGTCGGAAACTTCCGAGAACGACTCCCAACAGTGTGATGCAGCCAACAAACACCATCTTCCTGATATTGTTTTCAAAACATAAGTATTTTAAATGGTATGTTATGCTAATCATGAGGAAAAAAAAACTTTCTTCTTTATATACCACCATTACTCTTTTATTTTGCCTCAAAACTGTTCAATCAGTTCTGCCCCATCCTGTATAAGCTAGCTAACACATTTAAATTGTATATTGTAATCAATATATAACAAATAGTCAAATAGTTAGACTACTTATAGCCTTATAAGAATTAGCTAAGCTGCTAGCTACGTACAATGTATTGCATTTTTTCAAGATGCCATTCGATAGCCCTCGCAAAGAGCTATAAAATGAGCCTAAACTTGTTTATGAAATGTTTCATCGTAAGAAGTTATTAACAAAAAACGCTCAAAACCGTCCCGAGTAGCCCCGGTTGACGGTAACAATTTGTCATTCATAGTACATTTATACTAAACCATGAATAACAATACCTCAATATAAATTAAAGACTGCCACTCAATATTTTTAAACATATGAAAAAATCAAACAAATCAAAACAATCAAAAAAATAAAAAATCATGATTTTTTATAAAAAAAATCAAGCTATTTAATCACCTGATTTAATCATTTTGATTTAATCATTGTCAACCCTGCTTCAAGCTGTCCGTATCTAGGCCATGGGTCGAACCAGCCCTCGGTCGAACGGCCACTTGACGAAGGACAATAAAATTTGGAACAAAACTATGCTATCTGAAACCTAACCTCAGATGCAGTGAACATAAAATTACGTAATTTAACAATGCCCGGAAGTCATATTCGATCCGCGGCCTGGTGGTGCACAGCAGATGGTGGTCAAGGCCAGAAGAGGACAAAGCAGAGTGGTGCACGGCTGATTGGTGTAGGTCCGGAGAGATCCAAGTCATTCGATTCAGGGCTTATTGATGCACAAAATTGGTGGTGCAAGGCTGCGCTCCTGGCTTACGAAGTTACGCAGTGAAGAGTGAACTGATTACTGAAGGCAGTTGTTGTTGTTTAACTTGTTTTGGTTGGGTAGGTTACCATAGCCATTGGTAGTGCCATAGCACCAATAGCATTAAAGTTTTGCTACAAGGCTTGGCTTTTTGCTGGTTGACTGATCATTGGCAAGTCTGATGGGAAGTCATCAAAGTCAGGCAAGTCTGTCATGGTTTCATTGGGGGGTGCAGCCTTAGGCCACAAACTTTACTCTTAAATAAGCCCTGGAGCCAACATCTAGATTCAGGATGCATTAACTTTACTCAGCCTCAGAACTAGAAGCCGCAGACTCCGCTTGTGGCTTGAACTCCGTAATCCAGACAAGTAACACACTGCTGAAAGATAATAGGGTCAAAGGTCTTCACTCTTCAGAGTTCAGCCAGAGCCAGTGCTTAAGCATGCTTGCTCATGAGCAAGCAGTTCCCTATCTGGCTGTACCTACTCCACCTCTGGCCTAACCACTTCTGGGCTCTGGCCTAACCTATTCACACTGTCCCAGCTCACAACCTTCTTGCAGCCAATGACTGGCTGACTGGCTCTACTAGTACTCTTGGACTGCCTTTCTGACTTTCTGCAGACAATGAGGTTAGGTTAGGTCCATCCACTCAGGTTTGTTTTGGGTGGAGAAAGGTTGCAGCTCGTATACTATAAGTTAGGCCTGGCCTGCTGGCCGCCTAAAGAAGTTAGGCCAGACCACAGTGGCAAACCAGTGATTTTTTAGAATCAGTTCATTTTTAATTTCCTTATTTAGCCTACCTACTCAAGATTTTAACAGATTTCTTATGAAGTTATGTATGATAATTCTGGTATCCAAGATACTTTACTGGCCTACTTATAGGACTCAAAAATGAACTTGAGATTGAGGAGGAGTAAAAAAAAAACTCTCTGCTTTGCCACTATGGGGCATGGGCCACACCCAGAGGAGGTTTGGAAAGATGCAGTAGGCTATGGCTATGGCCATGTTTACCTCCTTTGGCAAGCATATTTTGTAGCTGTGGATATCCGGCACTAAGCCTATGGCTTTGAGCACTTGACAGTTGACTTCATAGGACGTTAACACGTTATCCACACTCAGGATGATGTATGTTTTTGATGAATTTTCCCGCGCATTTTCACTTTTTTTAAGCTATTGCTGTGCACAGTTGGCGCAATGTATTGAAAATTGATTCTCTTTGCGCACGTGTTCGCGCAATCCCGGCCATCAATTCTACGTCGCGCTGCCGTGCACGAGCAGTTTGTGGAGGAACAGACGTAATACCGTAAAATGGGGTAACTTAGACCACTTTTTTTTGTACAAATGATGCCATTTTTTTACTAGCTAAATTAAACTTGAATTGAAACATGGAAAATACAGGTCTATACTCTAGCTTCACTCACCATAAATTGCTGGCTCCTGCCTCTCATAGTCTTTATGTAATTTCAGAAAAAGTGATGGTCTTTGTTATCCCAGCCCTTGGGGTAACTTAGACCGGGTCGTAAAATCAATTATATTTTTTTGTAAAATAACTCCAAATAACTCCAGGTTTTGGTGCATTGTAGTAGAACTCTTCTAGTTACATATGCAAATGACAAACTTGAGGAAAGTGTCATTGTTTGCAAATGGGGGGCGCCACCCCATAATGAGGG